TTGTCTCAGATTCTCCAGCATCTGCAGTTCCTACTATCTCAGCCTCGTCCCTAAGTTTTGTTTTATTTAAAGGCGGGTGTAAGGGCTGTGTTCCAGGTGCAATTTGATTGGTCTAACTACTAGGCTTTGAGCAAAACATGCTTTATTCTTGCACCATGGTTAACTCAATTAAAAGACTTAATAAAAATAATATCTTATTTAACTACTAATCATCAACGGTTCCGATATAGCAGCATCCCACAGACACGCCCTTGGCAAAGGCAAATGCAGCAAAACAGATTTCCCTCCCGGGCAGGAAAGTGGAGTTGAGACCAGGATCAGATCAGGTTAAATGGCGGAGCGGGCTCGAAGTGCTGAATTGCTTACTTCCGCTCCCAATCCCTACGTTCCTCCAGTTCAGAAGAAGAAGGAACGCCGACAGCAGCAGAGAGAGAGAGAGAGAGCTGTATTTAGCAGCTTCGACTCGCAAGAGAAACAACTGCAAGCCGAACTAAAACCCTGGGTCTCGTGTGAGCCTGACTCCACCACTCATGCTTCTTTTGTCTCATTTTTTCTTAAAAAAAAAACCCAAAGCTACTTACTCTCCATGGAGCGCACAGCTGGGCACCAGGCTTACAACCCCTCCTCTTCAAGAGAACCAGGACAGAACCAATCCCCCTCAAAGGCACAGATTGCCACGTCACTGTTGTTGGAGATGGTCGAAATTGACTTGGCGCGGGCACCGGGTGAAGCCTGCGCTCTTTTATCTATACGCACAGAGACAGTCCGACACAGGCACACATACACCTGATTCACACCCACCTTTCTGTCTTTGCCAAGGGGGAGGAAGCCGGGGTCTGGACGGAGGAACACAAATGGAGGAGCAGGGCCGGGGCCCAAGGCCAAGGACAGGAAGCAGTCCAGCACGGAATCGGAGCAGGAGGTGAGTGTTGGCCTGTCGGACGTCCACGTTTGCCCCCCTCCAGCTGTGGTCGGCCGGCCGGCCCTGACGGACGTGCCAACCCCCCCACCCCCGTACCATGGCGCGCCAGCTGCCTGCGAACGGATTAGCCGCGTGACCCGGGTTTTTCGTTTCCCGCGCCGAGCCTGACCTCATGTTAATCTGCTTCCTCCCAACAGGACGAGTCGGAGGACAGCGAGACAGACGAAGAGGAGGTATCCCGGTCCAGCGTGGACAAGCCCGGGCGCCAGATCCAGAGGTGAGTTGGCGAGGGAGGAGGGGCAGGGGTGGAATTGTCTGCGCGGATTTGGCATAAAGGCGTGGGGAGTAGTTCCCTTTGGAAAGAAGAGCAGAGCATGAATTAAATAGAGACTGCAGAAGACAGGTAGAGAGGCACCCTGGTATGTGGACCCAAAAAAGAAGTGTGTTAGTGTACAGATGCAGCAAGTAGTTAGAGAGGCAGAGGGGGATGTGCACCTTTCTTGCAAAGGGATGGAACTAGGAGGCCAAGAGGATGACCCTATAAAGGTTTATAAATTCGTGAGGGGCGTAGATAAGGTGTATAGGAACAGTCTTCTCCCGAGGGTGGGGACATTCAAAACTAGGGGACATATTTTTAAGGTGAGAGGAGAAAGATTTAAGAATGACATGAGGGGCAACTTTTTTACACAGATGGCTGGTTCATGTGTGGAATGAGCTGCCGGAGGAGGTGGTAGATGCAGGTGCGATGACAACATTTAAAAGACATTTGGACAAGCACATGAATGGGAAAGGTTTAGAGGGATATAGGGCAAAAAGTGGGTCTCGTTTAGTTTGGGAAACTTGTGGTCGGCGTGGACTAGTTGGACAAAAGGGTCTGTTTCCATGCTGTATGGCTGTATTAAAATTGGGAAGCCTTGCTACAGATTTTGGCTTTGTGCCTTGCACACTGTGTACAGCACTGGCCTCCTTGCTGCAGGGGGGAATGTGTACTGGCTCTGGAAGCAGGATAGAAAACATTCAAAACGGGAGGGTTTTGTTTTATTGAAGCAAGCTTGGACCTGTCCTCATGAGAGCGCGTTTATGATTGAGCGGTTATTTGTGAAATATAGAAGATTCTGAGGGGACTTCATAGGGCTGGTGTTGCCCCTCCTGGGGCAATCTTACTTCAGAGCGGAGGCATCTCGCGATCGTGGTGATGAGGAGGAATTTCTAGCCTTGGAGAGTCGTTTTGGGTGTGGAATTCTCTACCCCAGAGAGCAGAAGGGGCTGGGTCAATCAACGTATTCAAGGCCTGATAGACTTTTTTTCTTTATCCGTTGATGGGATGAGGGTGTCGCTGGCCAGGCCAGCATTTATTGTCCATCACTAATTGCCCAGATGGCAGTTCAGAGTCAACCACATTGATGTGGGTCTGGAGTCACATGTAGGCCCAGACCAGGTAAGGATGGACAGTTTCCTTCCCTAAAGGACATTAGTGAACCAGATGGGTTTTTCTAACAATTGACAATGGATTCACGGTCATCATCAGACTCTTAATCCCAGATTTTTATCAAATTCAAATTCCACCATCTGCCGTGGCGGGATTCCAACCCGGGTCCCCAGAATATCCCCTTCCGGCGATAATACCACTAGGCCATCTCCTTCCCCAGGGATGGTATAGGGTTATGTGGGAGGTATCACTGAGAGAAAAGCGGGAGTCACAACCACCGATAGATCAGCCAGGGTCACCTTGAATGGTGGAGCAGACTCAAGAGGGCAAAAGACCTTCTCTGCTGGCTGATCTTTGACCCCTGCACCAGAAAACAGCAGTCTCCACTGCCTGAAGGGAGCATCAGTGCCAACAGAGCGCTGCACTGTTGGATGTCGCCGCCTGCTCAGTGAGACACTGCAGCCTGTGCCAGTTGTAAACTCTCTCCGTGTTTCGTGGAGCGCAGAGGAGACCTTCCTGGTGCCGTGGGCTCCTGATTTCGGGAATGGAGGATTTGAGTTATTAGCAGAGGCTAGTTTAAACTGGAGGGTAGGAGGCTTAGGGGTGACCTTATAGAAAGTAATAAAATCGTGAGGGACATAGACAAGGTAGATGTCTTTTCCCACAGGTGGGAGATTTCAAGATGAGGCATATTTTTAAGGTGAGAGGAGAGAGATTTTTAAAAAGTCGTGAGGGGCAACTTTTTTTGCACAGAGTAATTCACGTGTGGAATAAACTGCCAGAGGAAGTGGTGGATGTTACACCATTTAAAAGAATTTTGGATAAGTGCGTGATCAAGAAAGGTTTGGAGGGCCAAGTGCAGGCAGGTGGGACTAGTTTAGTTTGGGACTATGGTCGGCATGGACTGGTTGGGCCGAAGGGTCTGTTTCCGTGATGGCTCTGTGATCGATCAAACGACCCAGGCCCTCATCTAATCGCTGTTTGTGGGAGCTTGCTGTGCGCAGATTGGCTGCCATCCTTCACCTGCATCACATCACGTGATGCCAAGCTCATGGAGATAATGGAGAGACGGGAAAGACCGAACTGGCTTTTTTTTTAAGGGAGGGGTGCGTGAGTCTCTGATCTGAGGTTTGGCCCCTTTGTCACAAGATGATTTGAGTACGGCCTCCTGTGTTTGTATGGAGCCTTGGTACTCGGGAGCTCTGTTCGTAGCTTGAGGTACATTTACCTAAGGAAAGACATATCTCCTATAGGGAGCACTGCAGTGGAGGGTCAGCAGACTGATCCCTAGGATTGTCCTGTGTCACAGACTGAGGATAAGGGATTGGCCGCATTTGGAACTGAGGGGAGGAGGAATTTCTTCACTCGGAGGAAGGGATCGAAGTATCTAGATATTAAAAGATATTGAGTGCTGACGTGGGAAATAGCGCTGAGGTAGAAGATCAGCCATGAGATTGGATAGCAGCCAGGCCAGAGGGACTATGATAGCCCACTCCTGCTCCTTATTACCCATGTTCCTATGATCAAGGTCTTTTTTTTGAATTTGATGTATTGTTGTCACATGTCCCAAGACACAGTGAAAAGTTGTTTTGTGTGCAGTACAGGCAGATTGTACCATATAAAGTGCATCAGAGTAGCAGAATAGAGTGCTACAGCCACAGAGTAGGTGCAGAGAGAGAGATCAGAATTAACATTTGAGAGGCCGCTCAAAAGTCAGATAACAGTGGGGGGAGAAAGCTGTTCTTGAATCTGTTGATAAGTGTATTCAACTTTTATATCTTCTGCCCGATAGAAGAGTGTGGAAGGGAGTATAACTGGGGTGGGAGGGGTCTTTGATGATGTTGGTTGCTTTCCCGAGGCAGGGGGAAGTACAGATGGAGTCAGTGGATGGGAGGCTGGTTTGCGTGATGGGCTGGGCTGTGCTCATGACTCTGTGTGCAGTTTCTCGCGGTCTTGAAGAGCAGTTACTGTATCTCACTGTGGTGCACCCAGACAGGGCTGCTTTCTACGGTGCATCATCGAGAAAAGGTCTTTAAGATCACGAAGGAGTCCCAACAGGATAGGCGCAGAGATGTTCCTGCTTGCAGGCGAGACTGGAACTTGGGGACAGTCGATACAAATCGCTAGCCCAGTTAGCAATTCAGCGAGAATGTTTTTACCCAGAGAGTGGGGAGAGTGTGCAACCCCTCTGCACAGGGAGTGGACAAGGGGGATAATACGGGGTGGGAGGAGGGAGGGTGTTGAGCCTAATAGGTTGGTTCTGGAGTTGAGGGGTTTAGGCTTATGAGCAGAGATTGACTAGACTGAGACTGGAATTTAGAAGAATGTGGGGGGAATCTTATAGAAACATCTAATTTTATGAAGGGAATAGACAAGATAGAAACAGGGAGGTTTTTTTCCACTGACTAGTGAGACTAGAACGAGAGGGCATAGCCTCGAAACAAGGGGGAGCAGATCTCGGACTGAGCTGAGGAGGAACTTCTTCACCCAAAGGGTTGTGAATCTGTGGAATTCCCTGCCCAGCGAAGCAGCTGAGGCTACCTCATTGAATATTTTTTAAGCAAAGATAGATTTTTGAAGGGAATGAAGGGTTATGGTGAGCGGGCGGGTGAGTGGAGCTGAGTCCACGAAAAGATCAGCCATGATCGTACTGAATGGGGGAGCAGGCTGGAGGGGCCGAATGGCCTACTCCTGCTCCTGGCTCTTATGAACCGGACAAACGCACGAGGGCGAAAGGAATAGAAGGATTTGGTGACGGAATGAGACAAAGACCTGGCTAGGGAAGTGGCGGGGGTAGGGGGAAGAGGGTGAAGGGTCAGTTCCTGCAGAGCATGAGAG